GTAAATACTTTAAAAGGGTACTTAAAGTACAGTATGAACCAATATATATTTTAAGCAGCTCAACACACGTGTAAGTACCTCAAATTACACACAAGTTATTGTAAAAAAATAGAGTGAATCCAATGGAATATACAACAACATGCTCGTAAATACAGAGAGGGGTATATTAGAACAAAAATTCTAAAAGAGAAGGAATGTCAAAAATTGTGTAGTATATCAAAACTAACAAAGTGACATGTGTATAAAAATGTTGTTCTAATATACCTCCCTCTGTATTTAGGAGGGTAAGTGTTCATTTATATATGTAAATACTTGACTATTACTAATTATTACTAATTATCTTTAAAGTTTAGGGCATTTTAGACCGTTATTAGCCTATAACAGAGTCCAGTGTGCTCAGAGATCACAGCTTTTTGTTTTGATATATGTATTGTGTGGGCATAATTGTCAATCCCTCTGCATGGATTTTAATGAAAGAAGGGGACATTTTGCAAAAATCTGTATATTTGAAAAGAAGCAAAAAAAAACACAAGGTAAAACAAAATGTATTATATTACATTTTGGTTTTCTTTACAATACATTACACATTTACATTAAAATGTAAGAAGAAACAGTGTGGATTCAAGATGAAAAGATGTAGAGAACAAGGACATGGTTAGGGATAAAATTGGGCAAGGTGTTAGGCGGGTAAATGTTGTCCATATATGATTTGTATAATCAAAATCTTATGCCTGTGAGAGGTGTGATAGGATGAAGGCTTTAACAAAAATAAAAAATTTATTATGAAAGTATTTACCGGGTTTGTATTTTATGGGATGAATAGAGATTGCAATTTGAGCACATTCCCCTAGCACGTGTCTTTCGATTGTATTCCCACAGGTTTTGAAATTACTGAGGTTGTCACCAGAGTTTAAGTTTATGGCTTATACTGGGAATCCACTGCAGCCAAAGTAATTTACAAACATTCACGCCTCTTATTTACCAGATTCTTGTAATAGTCCGATGTATTGGTTTGAACATGTTTATTTGTTACAGTCTTTATGTGAAGTTCCATTGCTTTAATGTATCAGTATGTAGATCATGTGGATATTTTACATGTATCTGCTTTAAATGGCACAACTTAAATGTAGTAAAGAAATTACTATATAGCATTGTTGTATTACTATTTTGCACTTTCTTTCAGAATCTTTAGAACTTTATCCCTCCAATTGCCCTCATATATTCTTTGCACTTTACCATGTGGCTTGTCTTACTTGTCATGATGTTTGATGCACTTAGTTATTTGTCAATTACTGTTTTGAGGGTGATGGTACACCCCTTGATGTAATCAAGTTCCTATTTATTTTCACAAAGTTAATGTGTATGTGTATGTAAGGTTCGTTAATGGCCTTGTGTGGCCAAAACATCACTTTTCAGTTTTGCACCTTAATAAAAGATCAGAATCATATTAAAGGTTTGTGCTGACCATTCATTTTTTTCTTGGTATTTATTTTTGGTTATTGAAGAAACCAAGGTCTATGTACCATGGGTTGGACGGTGTGATGGGAACCCCGGGATTTCGTGGTTTTCCACTTGTATTATGTGTTTCATGTATTGTGCCTGTATATGCAGCTGTGGGCCCCCTCCTTTTTTACTCCTTTTGTGAATGTAGTGTCTGCCTGGACCTCTCACCCCTTACCCCCTCCCTTTTTCTGTCACAGCAGGACATGATCACAGGGACACTGCCAGACCAATTTGAACTGGCTGCTTTGTCCCTCTTCCATCCCCCCATCAGCTTCTTGGAATTGAAAATCCTGGTGTATTGTCTTAGAGACCCAATGTAGGGGTCTTTGCATGAAAAACCATGTGTGACAAAATAAACACAGTCAGTCAGTGTTATAACCTGCAGGACTGTGTTTTGTCCAGTTACTGGTAGGGGAAATGGATGACTGCTTGTTGTAAGGGTTCCTGAACGGCTGAAGGAAGGGAAATAGCGGAGGTAACCGTTCGGGTTACCCGTGATCCACTACAGATGGTATCCTCATATCCTCATACCTCCTGTTCAAGTGTTCACTCTATAGTGACCTCAGAGACCCAGGAAATAACTTATTTCTAATGGTGGTTTGGGAACTGGATATAGACTCTTACACCCAGGTCTCATTGTCTATCATGATCACTGTGGTTGATATACAGTTTTGCGCCCTGTTTATCATTGTAAGATATATTGAGAAAGATGGCATTTGTTGGCTGTATAGAGGTAAGGAGACATTGACTATACTTACCTGCATGTCCAGAAACTTCAGAGACGTGCTAAATTTCAGTTATTTCTGCATAAACCATTAAAATATATATTTAAAATAAAATTTCTTGCATAATGCATTTCTATTTTAGGCACACTCATTCACAACGAAAAGAAGGTCTTGTTTTTTCTAATGTAGTGGTAGAAGGCCTTAATGTCTTAGTTGCCAAATTGTGATATTGACATAAGAAAGAATTTCAATGTGCTAAATGTGTGGAGATATAAGGAAGTGAGTTGGAATCTGAACAGAAGAGTAAGTGTATTGGCACGTCAGCAAAGGATTAAATACTAAGCAAGTTCTTTCAGCATTTTCATATTATAAGATAACGGCTGTCACAATTTTTTTTTTTAAATTTACAATTTTTTATTTTCAAAAAGTAAGAGGTAAAAATGGGTACAGAACAAAGAAGGGGGAAGGGTAGGGAAAGGATGGGGGAGCATGGGAGGCGACAAGCCAATATCATTTTCCTTTCGCAGAAGGAGAGGTAAGTGACACATCCGTTTACTTATAACACAATATATCAAAATGTCAAAATATATCGAAATGTCAAAAATCCAATAAATCATGTAAGCGTTGAGTAATATCCATGAACAGGTAGTCTATTTCCATCTTCAACCCACATCCTATTTTAGTTTGCAATCTATCATCCTAATTCTCTGTGTTATCCAGGTTATAGTTTTTCAAATGGGGATATGGTATAGTCGTAGCCTTGGAGTGTATTGGTATAGGGTTCTTAACTCGTGGGTCTAGGTTTACTATCTACTAGAGTAAGCCATGGTGTCCATATTTGTTCTACTTCTCTCTTTTTTTGCGTAAGAATCTGCAGAGAGTATCTCATAGTTATAGTATTGCTGTTGTGATAAAGTGAAGGCAGAGAGGCCTTTAACATTTAAGCCCAGGGGAAGTACGTATTGTATGTGTGGTGTGCAACACAAAGCTATGTTTAGTTATGGGCCCCTGGGGTGGAGCATTTGGAGAGCAGGGTGGGCCAATGCTCCACTCCTCAGTTTATACACATCTGGGAGAAATAAGGTCCAGGCCAGAGTTTTTTGGAACTGTCTCTAACCCACTGCTCAGCTGCAGATAATCAGCTGTAGCTGTGGGAATAAACCACTCCCTGCTAGGCAGGTAAAGGGGGATTGCTGGCTTCCTCCCTTGAAGCAGGTAGCAGAGAGGTTGTTCTCTCCAGTGAGAGAGTCAAGGAGATTGAGCACTGGGAGTGCAGAAGGAAAGCAGTCAAGGCTGGCTTGGAGCACTGGGAGTGCAAAAGGAAAGCAGTCAAGGCTGGCTTGGAGCACTGGGAGTGCAGAAAGGAAAGCAACAAGCTGACTAAGCACTGGAGTGCAGAGAGCTGACCAAGACACTAGGTTGGTGAAACCAATTATTGTTTTGCTCTAGTTTAACCCCTGAGAGATAGGGAACCTGATGTTAGTAAGTGCTCAGACGAGCTAGGTTTTTGTTTATAGGAATTTGTATTATATTTATGTGTGGTGGAACCAACCTTGCCACTATGCACTGGAGAAGCCTGGTTGCTCGCCTGCTGCCTTTAGACTATGGCCCCTGGGAGATTGTGAAAACTTGTGGACTTTTATTGGGTGTGTATGGCCCTTTAAGACAGTCGGTGGGCATATTGGGGCTTGTGTACGTTTTATGGGACTGGTGCTGGCCTTTTAAGCACCTTTTTGGGGCATAGGTAAAATCGGGACACTGCCCCTTTAAGACGGTGTCCCCAGACTTGTTTGGAACACTGCCCCTTTAAGACGGTGTCCCCAGTGTCCCCTAGCTATTTCCCACTTGGTTCAGTAAATGGGGCTTACTGACCCAAGTACCGCACAGGCGGACCACCTGTATTGGGAGTGTGTCAGCAATTTACCTCCCAGAAGCTGCGGTTAACTGCAGCTTAATTGACAATGCTGGGTGGCCTTTGTTCGTTTGCCGAACACGTGGCGGCGGCCATCTTTGTTCATTCGCACGAGGTCAGCGGTATGTGTAGCCAAATTCATGGAACTAAAATCGGCTACACATTTCCGCGAACACCGCTGAGCCCTACCTTCTCCCACAACGGTTTTGCAGCCGCAGAGACTAAGTCCCATTCGGTGATGGGACTTAGTCGTTGTTTCAGCCTGAAATAGACCGACCGCACAGCCCAAATCTATGGAACTGTTTTGGGCAGGAAAATGTGCTTGCAGTCGGTCATAAAGGGACCTCCAGCTAACTTTTTAACCCCTGGATGGATTTGGCTGATTTTTGGTTATGTATATATTTGAAGGTTGCTGATTCTAAATATATATATATATTTTTACGGAAATTGGATGTATGGTTTTAAAGTTACAGGATATGTGTAAAAACTGTATTTTTACTGCCTGTGTTTAATTATGTTAAACCATTGTGTACCATAATTAGATCACAGGCAGAGGGAAGGATTTTTGTTTGTAATTGCTGGGAGTATTTCTGTAACATATGTGTATGATTGGTTGTTTTGTAAAACCCTGTGGGTGGTCCTATCTAAGGGTATAGCGTTTTGTGGTGGAATTTGGAATTGGAGGGATACATGAGTGTTCACAACGCTTTTTAGTTGTAAGTATTGGAAGACAAAGGAATTAGGTAGGTTGAATTGGGTTTGTAAATGTCGAAATGTTTTAATCCCTATCTGTTCACAGATGTCTTTAATATATTTAATTCCATATTTGGTCTATGATTGTAGTGAAGCTGGTGAGACTGTTACGTTGGCGCCATCTTGTGTGCCTCTATTGGAGTGTATGTGCAGTACTTCCCTTTCTCTGACACCGTAGCCATTAGTTTATCCCAGTATTTGAGTGTCACTGTAGAGGTAGGGTATAATGTTATTTTTTGCGGTCGATGTATTTTTGGTGACCACATTATGTGTAATATAGGATGAGGGTATGCTTTGTCAATTTCCATGTCCACCCATTGGAACGTGTGTTTAGGGGCATGGAGCTTTATGGCGGATTCGAGAATAGCCGCCTCATAATAGGCGGTAATTTTTGGTACCCCTAGGCCTCCTCTGGATTGTGTCTGTTGGAGTAGGGAGATAGGTAATCTTGGTTTTGCCTCGTTCCATATAAATCTGGATAGAGTGGTTTGTAGTGTTTTTAGGATGTGTGGTTGGATATGAAGGGGTAACATCCGAAAATGTATAGAGAATTTTGGGTGATATTACCATCTTAATAGTGTAGATTCGGCCCTGAAGGAGTGAGGTGCATATGTGTGGTAGCGGGCCATAGTTCAGGGTTATAGTTTTGGTGGCATGTAAAGCAAGTTTCACTCCTAGGTACGTTATATGGTTCTGTCTCCAGTCAAATAGGAAGGTCTGGCGTAGCTTATCAACTTGTGGTGTGGGTATGTGTAGTGGTAAGGCTTGTGTCTTAGCTTTATTAAGTTTATAGTACGATATTTTTCCATACTCTTGTAGTAGGTTCATAAGACGGGATAATGAGATTCCGGGTTTGCAGATGGTTAGTAGGATGTCGTCCGCGAACATTGACAGTTTGTAATTTGTGTGTCTTATGGATATTCCTGTAATTAGTGGGTCTTGTCTAATTTTGATTGCTAGGGGTTCTAAGGCAAGGATGAAAGGAAGTGGGGATAGAGGGCATCCTTGTCTAGTGCTGTTGGTGAGGTTAAAGGGTGATGAAATGAATCCTGACTGATATACTTGGGCAGTAGGATTATTGTATAATGTCATTATGCCTTGGATCATTTCTTTTGGGAACCCATATTTAGTGAGGACCATTGTCATGTATGGCCAGTTAAGCCTATCAAATGCTTTTTCAGCATCTAGTGCCAAAGGGAGGCTTTCAGTTCTCTCTGTGTCAATGTGAGACAGTATGTTAAGGATTTTCCTGGTATTATCGGAGCCCTGTCTACCTTTAATGAATCCTGATTGGTCGTTGTGTATTATGCGAGTCAATATAGGGTTTAGTCTATTCGCTAGGAGTTAAGCATAAATTTTAGTATCACAGTTTAATAGAGAAATTGGTCGGAAGTTGGGGCAATGGGTTGGGGGTTTCCCTGGTTTCGGTAGAGTAATAATATGGGCTTGTAACATCCCTGCGGGCATAATCCCTTTTTGGAAACATTGGCTGAACAGTGCCATCATATGGGGTGCTAATATATCTTTGTATGTATAGTAGTATAGGTTTGTAAACCCATCGGGTCCTGGAGATTTGTGTTTTGGGAGTTGTTTTAGGATGTCTATAATTTCTTGTGTTGTGAATGGTTGTATCAGACCTTGGCTTTCTTCTGTGGTAAGGGTAGGTAGATGAATATCTGTCAGGAATGTATCTATGTCTTTTTGTTTAGGTATATGGCAGTCAAACCCCTTTGCCAGATTATATAAATCGCTGTAGTATTTGCCAAATTCGTCTGCTACTTCTTGTGGATTAGTGAGTTTTTCTCCTTCTTTAGTATGTATAAAAGGTATTTTGGACGATATGGTCTTTGCTTTTAGTTGTGCCGCTAACACTTTCCCCGCCCTATTACCGTCTTGAACGAATTTGTGTTTCATTTTGGTTAGTAGGTATGTTGTTTTGGCCATTTCCATTTCTCTCAATTGAAGATTGTGAAGAATTTGTTGTGTGGTATCGTGTGAAGATGTGTGTTTGTTAGTGCGGGTGAGTGTGACTAGTTCTGTATTGATGTCTATGTAGGCTGTCATGCTTTGCTTTTTATTGTAGCTAGCATGTTTAATAAATTGTCCCTGAAGGACCGCTTTGTGAGCTTGCCATAGAGTTTCTATTCCAATATCCCCTGTCTTGTTTAGGGAGAAGTATGTTTCTAGATCCTTATTTATTTGCAGAACTAGTTTATGGTCTGTTAGAAGGGACTCGTTTAATCACCATGTACTGTTCCCACTTGTAGGGTGTTGTGTTGTCCGTGATAGTGTGATCAGAACATGATCCGACCAGGTAATAATACCTATATTTGTACTGGATACCTTCGATGTGAGGGCTGATGGGAGTAGAAATCGGTCAATTCAGGATAGGTGTCATGCAATGGTGTGTATAGTCTTTATCTAGAGGGTGTAGGGCCTCCAAATGTCGGTGTATCCATGCATGTGTAGGATGTTTTCTATACGGGCAGTCGTGTGTATTCTTTTTTTTGTCGTCTTGTGTGAGATCTTGGAGGAAGAAGTGGTGTCTGAAGTTGGGTCTAAAATAAAATTTGTGTCGCCTCCGATGAGGATTTCTCCAAATTAATGGGCATTAGTTAGAGTAAGGATATGGTCTAGGAATACATGGTGACCATTTTGTGGACCATAAATGTTTACTAGCATATATTGAGCATTGTTAATTATGCACTGTATGAGGAGGTATCGTCCTTTTTTGTCTCTCACCTGTTTTATTAGTTGGAAGGAAACAGTGTTGCTTATCAATATCGTGACACCTCTTTTCTTTTTCTTGTATGTGCTATGGTAGCCTAAGGGATATAATCTGAAGGAGAATTTGGGGTGATTTGAGGTCTGAAAATGAGTTTCTTTATAGAAAGCTATATGGGCTCTGTGTGTTTTCACTTCTTGTAGGGCCATACGACGTTTGTGAGGAGAATTAAGTCCCTTAGCGTTTATTGACAAGATATTTAGTGTCATTTGGGTTTGGTAATGAGGGCGCTAAATGAGTGCTGGAGGCAAAGTTTATCACTGCCAAGATAGTGTGGCATAGCATGCCACTTGGTTTCTAGTCGAGGTGTGTTTTTTTTTATATAACGGGGGTGTATGTGTTGGGCCCGCAATAAGTGACAATGAATTCTGATCTGTGCTTGTGACATGTGCATTGATGTGTCTTGGTGGTATTGTGTCGCCTTAGGAGGGAGAAGGAAGGAAAGGGAGGGATAACTGAAGAAGCGTAACCAACTATATACAAATAAAAGGTCTCCAACATGAGACCTAATTGTCCTAGTGTTTGTTGGGCACCGAATCCTTCTTGGGGGGTGGAGAGTCCCTTTTTCTTAGGGAGAGATCTTCCATCTTAGGATGGGTGTTGGTTTCTGAGTGGTCTCTTGATGTGGGCTAATGTATGTGTGAGTCATTTCAAGATATTGTTAATACTTTTTTTTTTTTTTTACTTTGTGTCTAGTCACTCAGAGGTACCTTCTAAGTGTTTTTTACACAAGCATATGGTTCCTGTTGGGTTCCATCGTACTCTTGAGATAGGAGCCGTGTATGTATATATATCGTGTCGGAAAACAATGTAGTATGTAACAAATATGAAAACGTATTACTATTCTTGCTAAAGCCTAATAAAAGCCTGGTAGCACTAGCGTCCCTATTATCTAGATGAGGGCTAGGGTTGGGTGTTACTCCCAACCTTTTGATTGAAAACAAGGGGAACAAAAGGAGAGGGGCGCTTCCCATGACCTTAATGTAACTGTTATTTTCATTCTGGTTTGTTTTAGGTAATTTTACAATTATCTGGTAACAGCAGTGATGCTTATAATTTATGTCTCGCCATTGAGTATGGTTTCTTATGGGTATTTAAAGTCGGTGAGTAGGACTACATTTGATCTTAGGTCAGTGGCTGTTGATAAGTATGGTTTCGCGATATCTGTCGGGTTAGGTGATGGCGGTATATGACTCATGTCGGGCTTCTGTATGTTAACGTACAGGTAGTAATTTAGCTGTCTAATGTTTCTATCCTCATAATATTGCATTGGGAGGTTCCCTTGTACCGATCAATATCTGTTCAGTATAAGTTAGGGGGTATTATAACATAAACTTGTATATAACGCTTAAATATAAAAATTTTAAAAAAAAGAAACATTTAAAACCGTGTGGGACAAGAGTTCACCACTTTTGCGTTCCTCTGTTTTGATCAAAGGGTATACGCGGGTTTGATATGGGCCCAAAAGTCCCTGTTTGAGAAAGTCACTTATCTGTAGCCTGTGTTTCCCAGACGGAGGTTACTTTCATTGGTACCGTCTCTGGTGATCTTGCATTGTCCGCTGTGTCTATTACTGGTATGTTCCATTCCGCCAAGGCCTTTTTTCTGTCATCCGGGTTGAGAAGATGCTTTTCAGTGCGATTTCTTCTAATTATGAGACGTGTCGGGAAATCCCATTTGTAGGGTATATCTGCCGCTCTCAGAGCTTTGGTTATAGGCATAAAGCTCCCCCGTGCATTGAGTGTGGTTGCTGAGAGATCGGTATACAATTGGATTTTGCTATATGCTTCTGGCAGATTAGGATGTTTCCTGGAAGCCGACATTATAGTTTGTTTAGTAGTATTGTAATGAATTCTTGTTATGGTGTCTCTCGGTGTGGATGTTGGGAGATGTCTGGGTCTTGGTAGTCTGTGGGTTCTATCTAGTAGCAATGCTGGGTCTTAGAGATCAGGTGCCAGAAGATGGAAAAGTGTTGTGACATATTTTCCCAGGTCGTTGGGGCCGACATCTTCCGGGATGCCGCGTATGCGCACGTTATTTTGACGGTCCCTATCCTCGTGGTGTGCAAGTTTAGTAACGATAAAGGATAGTTTGGCTTCTATATTTTCGTAGGCCGCAGCCACATTATTATGTGCATTAATAAGCTCTTCAGTTTTGTTTTCGAGATAATCCATTCTATCTCCCAGCGCTTTGACATCTGCTCTTATTTCTCTAGCCAATTTGGCAAAGTCTGCCTGTAGGGATGTCTGTAAGCCATTCAGCATTTTTTGTATCGCTGATTCTGTGGCTGGAAGTTCTTTATTTGATATGGAGGTGAAATCACTTCTGTCGGAACTTGAAGCTGGTGAGACTGTTCCGTTGGCGCCATCTTGTGTGCAGCGTGGTGGCGAGGCCATAGCTGCAACTTGCAGTGAAGGTGTTTCTTTCGCCTTGCTTTTTTTCGTGGAGCGTTGTGCCATGGTGTCCTGACAGTGTCCTGGTCAGCAGGATATGGGTAGTCTTCTCGATAAAAGCTATTATATTTGCTGTTTTAGGGTACTCTCTCCCGGAGCCGATCGCTCACACGTCCGTCAATAGACATTGAAGTGATTGGTACAATGCTAACGAGAAAAAAAAACTACATACATATAATCAGAT